TTTTTCCTGTTCGTTTCATCTTAGAGGAGCTGGGTATCTCAAAAATTCTGTTATTTTCACTCAGGAATCCTGTCTCTTCCTCCTGCATCCATTTCCTCTTTTCGTGAGAGTTTGTGTGAGTGGATGTAGGTTGTTGAGTAAGCGTGGCTGGGAGACACAGACCCATGGCTGGATGCAGGGGCAATTCTTCTCTCTTGTATTAATCAATGATGGCGTCTGAAAGGGCTTCCCTTCCCCATTCGTGTAACTAATGATTGATACCCATGTTATTAACTCAAATGAGTTCATGCTCTGTCCAGCGCCTGGGGAAGCCCCCTCAGGGAGGCTGGGTAGGGTACTGGTTAAGAACATGGCCACAGTCAGAGCATCAGGGTTTATATCTCAGTGCACACCACTGCTGGTGTGATCTTGGCGGCATTGCTTAATCCCTTTGGCCTCAGGTGGCCTGGATAACGGATACTAATGACAACATCTATCCCCATAGGATTGTCATGAGATTCAGTGAGGGAATAAGCACAACACACACAGTATAGTGCCTGATAGGTGGTCAGTACTCAATGAATATTAGGTCCTATTGATGCTTGTTATTCTTCTCAATGGTGAGGCATGCCTAGGTGCTGACAGTGTTCCTCAACCTGGTCCTTAGCTTTGGAGGTTCAGAGTTGTCAGTGCACCCAGGGCACTCTGTTCTAGCAAAGTCTACGTGGGGAGTCAAATTGCCAATAAACAGCTGCTTGATGAACATGGAATTTGAGCTGGGTAGGGGGCAGGTGGACAGCACAAGGTTCATAAGGCTGAGTGTAGTGGGTCCTCTGGCCCCCATTTCTATCACTGGGACTGGCCTGGAAGCTCCCTGTGGCTGGTGGGGGAGCTCTGTTCTCTGCACGGTGGAAGGGAGGTTGATCTGGTTGCAACATTCGCTGACTCTAGCATCCAGCAGGGCTGAGCTGGCTGACCTGACTGGCCAGAGCAGCCCTGTGCCCCCAGTGCCTCTTTGGGCATCCTTTCAGATTCCCTCTTGATTAAAGAGAAAAGTCTTCCCAGAGCAAGGAGGCCTCACCTTCATTCAGTGACTCTCCGTCTTTGTCAGAACGGCTTTGAACACACCAGGAGACACCCTGAAGGGTCCAACTGTAAGACTTCCTCCCCTTCCTGTCTGCTCTGGTTCGTGAACAGACTTCCTTTCCACAGCCCACAGTACAATCCACCAGGCCCCTGCCTTGAACAAGCCCAGTCAAGTGGGGGACTTCCTCCTGGGTTACAGGTTGTAATTCGGGTGCTACCTAGAGATCAGTGTTCTGGTGGGAGGCTTCTGAAACAGATGATTGAGCTCACCCACTACACAGTGATTTTCTTTTCTCATTTATTTCTTTTTTCACTTAGGAGCACTTTGCAATCCTCCTCAAAGATGACTTCATGATTTCCTCTTTATTTTTCATCAATTAAACAATTTTTGTTAACAACAATAGCTGCTATTTATTAATTAGTGAGTGTATTAATTGGGCGATTTTCTTACATTATCCTTAATCCACACAACAACATGATTCCAATTTTATCAATGAGGAGACTGAAGTGCAGAGGGATCAGTAAGATCAGTAATGGGCTCAATATTGGGGATTTTGTTTTTGGCATTGCCTCAAGATGATTAGTATTTTTCTCCCCTATTGAAATGAAAGAGAAAACCTTTGCATTTACCTTTTGTCTTCCAAAACAAGCTTTTGAAACCTCATCCAAGATGATAGCTGGGAAAACCAAACATTCTGATTTGCATGAGCCCAGATTTTGAAAAGACAAAATGTTTATATTTTGTTTTGTTTGTTTGCTTTGTGTATCAGAAATCAAAGTCCTTTCTATGAATGGCTTACAGTTTATCCACATATAAAAATTTGGAAAGGGATGAGGGGCAGGAAAGGGTATGCGGACCCTGATCAGAGAGGGGTCATTGGAGGTTGGGGGATGGGTCCTGGCTGAGGTTATTATGAGGAGTCTTGAGGAAAGAGGTCAGTGCAGAGGTGGGGGCTGCATTGGAAGGTGGCCCTGCTGAGGACCAGCCACTTCTTGTGCCAGGGGGATGACTTGGTGCAGTTCATTCATCTGCCCCGGCAAAGAATGAAAACTATTCTTCCCTGGTCTACATAAATATACCCACCTCCCCACCCCCTTGCCATAAAAATATCTACAGTGTGGAGCCTGGATCTCCAAACATGTTTGTAATGCAAAGAAAAAGCCCCCCAGCATGAGTACTTGTGTAGGATGCAAGAGACCCAGTTCTATGCTCTCTCTTCCCCCCAGTGCAATAATGTCCCATGGCTGCTATTGCCAGACCCTGGACTGGCTCTCACTAGCTGGTTGACTGGGCCTCTGGCCTCTGAGGGGTTTTGAGCAGTTAAGTAGTGTCATCAAGTGGAAACCATGGAAATCAACTCTTGAAGCAGAATGGCGATGGTTTAGAGGCAGGTGATGTCCAAATGAGAGATGATGAGGTCTGAATAGGGCAGTGGCCAAGGATGGAGAGGAGAGATATTCAGGGGTAGAATCAATAGAATGTGATTGATTGATATGGGCTGAAGTCCAAACGCCTTCACTTAGCCGGCCACTCCAGCCTCAAGTGTTGTCACGCCCCTTGCCCGCCTCTGTTTTAGCTGGTTCCTGAATATTCTTGCTCTGTCAGGGCTCCATGCCTCTGAATGTGCTGTGCTGGCTTCTGCTTGGAAGACCATTCCCTCTCTCCAGAAATCTTGGGTTTCTTTGTGTGTCTCTCCAACTAGAGAATGAACTCTGAGAGGGAAGGCACAGAATCTCTCCTCTCTGAATGCCAGCCCCTGGTCATGCTCCACATGTATCTGTTGAGTGAATCAATCAATCAAAAAAAGATGCAGGGAGAAGGGGAAGGAAGGAATTGAAGGGAGAAGGAATGAAGACACTGGCCACACAGTCAGGCCTCATTATAATCACTCCTCTCTCTGATGTTACGCTTTAATCCTCATCGGTAGAGTGAAGCATGAGAATGAGCCAAAGGGCATCGGCCTCTGCTAGCGGCTGGAACCCGAACCAAATAAGATGGAAGGGTTCAGAGAATATTCTAATTGTCTGTCCCAACAGTTTCAGTAACACTGTCACATCACTAGAGGCAGTGCCTTCTGCAGACAGTGCTGGTGGGGCTGGGAGTGGGGGGGCACTGAGAGCCAAGAGAGAGAACAAAGTGAGGTGGACAGAGCCCTGACAATCTGTCCGGAGTCCTGGGCTCCAGTCCTGGATGCACGGATAGCCCGTGAGCCGGCCCTTTCTGCCTGCTCCCGCAGACTGACGTTGTAAAATCTCGCTCTCTTTGCTTTGACTTTTTCTGTTCCTCCCTTGCTACTTCCACACTCACTGATCCCCCAGGTCCTCAGGAGACTGAAATGGAAGCCAGAGCAGGAGATAGGGATTGAATTAATTTCAGTGTCTTTGTGTCTTGCAGTCAAATAGAAAATCTTGCATCCTAAATCCTGTTTGTCCTGGGCTCCTGTATTTTCTTATGGTTTTTTCATCAATTAGATTTTTTAAGAAAAGACTTTTCTCAAATGCCCAAACATCCATTGTTAAGACTACGAGTGTCAGAACATAGGTTTGGGAGTCAGGCAAACATTGCCACTTCGACGATTGACCTTGGGCAAGTTCCTCTGAAGTCCCCTCCCAGAGCCACTTCTCTGGCTCTGTCTACACACCTGGAAACTAGAGGACCAGTGCCATCCGCAGTCTGGCTACTGCCTACCATACCTGCCGGGAGTTCATAAACCCATCTCATAGTTCTTTCATGACAATTACTGTAATTAAGATACTACAGTCCTTATCTTACAGGAGGGGCAGCCAAAGAGCTTGCTTGGGGCTGTGTAACTAGTGAATACGTGGGGTACGGGACCAGAGCCACCCTTCCCCATGCAGTCAGTCACCTGGCTGGTCACACTTCCTTCCCCCTTTGTGTTTTGGTAGAGATCTGGAAAATACTCCCTGGTTTTAGCCTTCTACTATCCTAACCTTTTATGTCTTCCTCATTAAAAAGAAGGCTGGGCTTGGAATAACTTGAGTTCTGGGCCCCTGGGGGAATCCAGGAGGCTGGGCATGGGGGCCTGCAGACTGCATGGAATATGCAAGAAGCTCTTCTCTAAATTGAGCTTTGAACGGAAACAGCCACACGGGCCTCAGAAGCGGTCAGCTCACTTACTCTGGGCTGGAATGATAGCAACGCAGCTGCTTCAGCTGGCTATCTCACACTGATCACAGCTCCGATGGGCAATTATATGTGTCTTTGATTAATAAAAAATGGAGCAACGAATGAATACTTAATCAACACAGTCTGGCGGGTAGGCTCTTTCAGGACATGGGCTGGGGGTGAGGCAGGGAGTAGTCAAAGGGGTCCTTGGAGTTAAAAAGGCAGGGCACCCCTCCAGGGAGTGGTCTCTGGAAAAGTTGTCCATTCCTGATCGTTGGCGCCTTGATTCTGTGCCTGGGACTTGCTAGAAGCACTGGGGGCATGAGATCAGGAGAGAAGGCTGAGCTGGTCAGCAAATGGGGAAAAATGTACTCTTGTCCACCCAAGTGGTCAAGGAAAGAACATGGACTAGGGGATGTGTGTGTCCACGTGTCTGCAGGTAGCTGTGTTTTCTTTGCGTGTGCGCCTGTGTGCGCTGCGAGTTTGGAATCTTTTCTGTGGGTCTGCCTGTACTCGAAGCAGTAATTAAAACGAGCTTGGTTAGGGGAGGAAGGAGAGGCAAGGGAGCTAGGAGGCTGAAGGAGAGTGTGAAAGAGGAAAACAGACTCTGTTGGGGTTAGAGGGAGAGAGAGGAGAGAAGATCCAAGGGGCGGTCGAAAACCACGGGGCAGACTGTGAGCTCAGGAGAGGAAGGAAGTGATGGAGAAGGGGAGGTCGTGGACCTCCGCAGGTGCCGCCTTGCCTGTCAGGGCCCTTCCGGCTCCAGTGGGGGGGGGGGGGGGGGGGCGGGACCAGGAGGAGACTGGGAGGAGCGGCAAGAGGCGGGAATCTGAACTGCGAAGAGTGTGGGACAGCGGGGCAGCCCTGCGAGGAGGTAGGACGCAGGTGCTGGGCTGGGGCGCGGGCAGGGGCCATGGGGAAGCGAGGCGATTGGGCAGGAGGCAGGCTGACTCCGGGGGCGCCCCTATCTGGAGGGGCGCTGACCACTTGTTGGAGGAGGTGTGGGGTGGGGGTGAGGAGGGGCTTCTGGGCACTTTCCTGGAAGACGGAGATGTGGGGAAGGAGACCTGGAGAGGGGACATGGGGCGTCCTAGCCGAGAGTCACGGAGGATCCTCGGAGTTGGGATATTTTTGGCGTTAGACTGGCCTTCCTGTTGTGGCTAACTAGCCTTGGGCTCATTGATAAAACCTCCTGGAGCTTTGGTTTCCTTGTCAGTAAACCGAGGATAACGAAGACTAACTGGCCAGGTTGTTGTGAGGAGCTGTGAGGACATACATGACGGCTCCCCGTCTGCTTGCCTGCCTCAGAATTGCTGCGGTTGTAATTTTAGTGGTCAGTCTTCAGGATTTGGGCTCAGTTCCTGTTTCCCCCCTCTCCTGCCAGGCGGGGTAGGACAGGGCTTTTTGTTGCAGCTGTTTCTCCTAGCTGGCCTCTCTCTCCTCCCTACAAAGGACGCTTTGTCCACCTGTACCTTTCCCACAAGCCCCCTGCACCAGCAACCTCTTCCTTATTTTACAGCAACCAGAGACTCAACCACTGATGGGTTCTGCCCAAGCCGAGAACAGCCAGCACTGGAGAGCTCCCTGACTGGAAGGGCCTGCCAAAGGAATTTCCCAGGTGCTCAAACACCAGGCCTTGCAGCTCCTGTGCTCAGCCCAGGAGGCCACCAGTGAAACTGGAGGATCGGCCACACCTCAGGCCATGGCGAGTCAGGGGCTTCCCCTACGAGTGGCCACTCTGCTGACGGGGCTGCTGGAATGTCTTGGCTTTGCGGGCGTCCTCTTCGGCTGGGCGTCGCTGGTGTTTGTCTTCAAGACAGAACATTACTTTGAGGAGCTGTGTGAACCAAATGCCGGGCTGACGGGCAATGCCACACTGACGGGCAATGTCACGGGACAGACTGGTAAGGGAATGATGACTTGTCTAGGAAGCTGAGGCCGGTTCTCACTTGGTGGGAAGGAGTAGGAAGGACTCCATCCCCTGCCCACCCTGCCAACCTTTCTACAGTGAGAGAAAGGGGGTGTCAGCCTCCCCTGTCCCCTACCCCTCAACCTCAGTCTAGGAGGTGCCTGGAGAGGGAAGTACTAGCTCCTGAGGGGTAATTAGAGGCAGTCACATTTCAGCTCACCGAAGGGAGAACTTTCCACCAGCCAGCTGTCCAAGACGGGAGAGGCTGCTCTGGAGGGGGGCCAGGCTGGGAGCCCACCTGGCAGGAAGGCTGGGCTGGATGGGAGGTTGGCCCACCCACTCTGGCTTCTGAGATCCCCCTTTCTGGCCTCCAGACTGCAAAGCCCAGGATGAGAAGTTCTCGCTCATCTTCACCCTGGCGTCCTTCATGAACAACTTCATGACATTCCCCACTGGCTACATCTTTGACCGTTTTAAGACCACTGTGGCCCGCCTCATAGCCATGTAAGTCCCTAAGGCCCAGTCTGGGTGGAGATGAGCAAGAGGAATTCTTCTGGCATTAGCCTCTCTTGGAGGGAGTCTCGGGCCAGGCAACTGGGCAGTCCTGCCAGGCGCTGCCTCAGCAGCTGCTCTCTTCCTACACCCCTACTTCCCTTTCCTTGCCTCCTTCCTCTGCTAGGTGTGAATGTGTGTTCTATGTGACATGCTGAATTGAGCAGGAGCCCAGGCCCGCTTTCTGTGAGAGCTGGCCTGGGGCCCGGGTTATGAAATTAGCAAAACCTAAAATTGTCACTCTGCCTTCATCCCGGGGAACCTTGTCTATAGCTCCTACAAGGCCTCATGGCCAGGTTGCTCAGACTTAGTTGTCATCTTCCTCACTCCCCGTCACTCCCCAGAGACTTAGCCAGTGAGGTCTCCTGGGACCTGCAGTGGTGGGATATCAGGTCCCCTGGGGCTGGAGGGAAGGCAATGGGGTTTCCCATGCAGATGAGTCAACGAGGCCAACGGACTTGTTCTTGCTCATCCAGGGTGCCGCTCCAGCTGGCCTGGGTGAGTGATAAGCAGTGCCCTGCTGGGAGCTGATAGAACCCAAAGCAAGCAGCCCCTGGCATGCTTGTGAGAGATTAGTTGTCAGAGGGGCTGGAGGGCCGGCTGGGCCAGGAAATAGCCAGGTCCCTTGGTCTTTAAGTGCTTGGCACATAATGACTTTATCTCGTCTCTCTTGGTGTTTGACTCCCTCTCCTCCTCTTCCCTCTCCTCCCTCTTCTCCAGCCTCCATGTGTTAAGAAAAACTCAGTCTTCCTTCCTGTGTTTCTCCTTTACTTTTACACACGATACTTCACACCCAAATGTGTGCGTGTGGGGGGTGTTCCCACACCAAGCCATCCTGCCACAACAGCTGGGTGGCCTACAATTTAACTCAATTCTGACCTCATCTTCCTGGAGATAGAGTCAGATCCCACAGGTAAGGGCTCAATCCCACGAGACTGCCCCCACTTCAGACACCAGTCGCAAGTGGTGTGTCCCCTGGTTGCCCATGACTTCTGTCTGACTTGGCTGCGCAGCGGAGGTTCCCATGACTTCCTCCCGCTTGGGTTCAATTATTTGCTAGACCAGCTCCCAGAACTCGGGGGAAAACTTGCTTACATTTACCAGTTTATTAAAGGATGTGATAAAGGATACAGATGAATGGTCAGATGAAGAGATATGTAGGCGAGGTCTGGGAGGGTCCTGAGCCCCGGAGCTTCTGTCCCTGGGAAGTTGGGGTGTGTCACCCTCCTAGTATGTGGATGTGTTCACCAACCCAGATGCTCTCTGAACCCTCTACTATTGGGGTTTTGTGGAGGCTTCCTCAAGTAGGCATGATCAATTACTAACTCCATTTCCAGCCCCTCTCCCCTCTCTAGAGAAGTGGGGAGCAGGGCTGAAAATTCCAATCTTCTAATTATGGCTTGGTCTTTCTCGTGACCAGTCTCTTCCAGGAGCCATCCAGGAGCCCACCCAGAGTCACCTCATTAGAACAAAAGATGCTCCTAGTGCTCTTATCACTGAGGAATTTGAAGGATTTTAGAAGTCCTGTGATAGGGACTAGGGACAAGGACCAAATAGGTATTTCTTATTCTAAATCACTATATCACACAGGCACTACTTTTATTACCCTATGTCTTATAAGACCCCCAAACTGCTAGAAAATCCCCATAACCTTTGGATTGTGGTTCTATAATCACAGAACCCTGGAACTTTAAGCTTGGGTTCTAGGTCGGTCCAATCATTTCCCTTTATAGAAAAGGCCACTGAGGCCCAGAGAAGGGCAGTGTCTTGACCAAGGTCACACAGTGAATAGGCATTGAGACTGAAGGTTTTGATTTGTAGACCAGGCACTAACCCCTTTCTCCAAAAGATTGGCCTGTTGGGACTCCCAAGTGGGAGGGCCTTGGCTCCACTCACTTTGTCTCTGGCCAAGCCCAGTAACCTTCTCCTGAACTCATTGCATCCTTAGCTGAGTTCATTGCCCAGGATTTCCCAGTGTAGCCTTGGACCTTGAGAGGAGCCAAATACCCTCATTTGTGAGGTCAGGGCCACATATCAATCACATCTGGGTTTCTGGCTCCTGGTTCCGAGCCTGGGGTCCAGAAGCATCCATGCCCATTGAACTCCCAGGCTGAGAATGCACTCTAGTGCCAAATTTGGAGATTGGGTGAGTAGAATTCTTGGTTTTGTCCCCCAGGTTTCCTTTTCCTTGACAACATCCTCCATCCCCTGTTCTGTGTTTCAGATTTCTGTACACCACTGCCACACTCACCATAGCCTTCACCTCTGCAGGTGAGTGCTGTCGGGGGGTGGGAGGGACACAAGCTCAGCAGCACCTGCTGGGTGGGACAGTTGCCGAAGGTGATGGACAGGACACACTGACCCCCCCATGGTTATCAGAGAGCCACAGACTTTGAGCTTGAAAGAATCTTTGAGAGAGTTATTACTGGTCTATGAAAACAGTTTCACCTACTGAGAAATGCAACAAATAAGCACAATGGAGGGATTGCCTCAGAGAGAAGAATTTGGTCCAAAGATTTTGTCTTTCCTCTTATATGTATTAACATGTTCTCCCTCTCTTATTGTAGTGAAATGATATATGAATGACAGTTGCTTTTGAAAATATCCTTACTAGCAGGGCAAAAGTTGACGATCCTAGCTAGTCAAAAGTTTTCTTTTCAAATTTTACTGGTCTATAAATGTATAAAATTCCCAAAGTCTAGGAATTCCAATCTGGTTTATTCCTGCTTTCCCCCAGTATGCAGAGGAGAAAACTGAGCTAGAGAGAGACCCCTTGCAAAGACTTGCTCAAGGGAACAGAGTAAGTTAGTGGGAAGTGGGCTTGGGGTCCCCGGCTGTGCCCTCTCCTAGCATCCTGGTTATGCTGGCCAAGAGATGCCTTCTAATATTTCTCCCCAGTGTCAGATCGCATGGCTCAATTTTGGGGATAGGAAGTAAAAGTACATAACTGTTGCGTGTGTAGTCCTTTGCTGATGCCGTATGGCATCATGAGGTCGTCTCCATTTGTGCTCCGTAAACACGGGCTGAGTGTCTTTGATCTCATGAGATAGCCTGGCACCTCAAGCCAGTTATTTAAAAGCACTCTCCTCATCAAACCCGCTTTATCTTATCAAAGAGCCTGTAAATGATTTTCAAGTGGCTGAATGTGGTGGTGGTGGCTAAGAATGTTTGACTCACCTTGTGAATCATTTGATCACCAGTTCTCCCTTCCTCCGTAAAACTGAGCTTTTGGTTTTTGGAAAAAGTGTTGGGACCACAATGACCCAATTGTGAAAGGAATCTCACCCAACCTTAGGAGAGTGCATTAGGAGAGAGGTACCTTTTATAAAGACAGAAATTGAATGGTAAATAGTGTGAATAGTCTAAAATGAGCACTTTACAGTGCTTCTCAAGGTATAGAACAATAGTTACTTCAGAGGACATTAGGAGGCACAACCTTGCCACGTTAAGCACTGAATCGTCTGGTGGAAAAATCATTCTTTTTCTATTTCTCTTTCAGTCCTCTGATTTCATGAACGAAAGTCTTGACATGGGGCCGGTATGAATTTAACACTATGGCAGGAGCAGGTTTCAAGCTTGGAACGTTCTGAGGGCAACTGCATCTAGTTACAATTTAATAACATTGTTTTCCTTTCATTGTATTTATTTTTACTATTCCTTTCTATTCTTGACAAGCAACATGAGTTGCTTTTCATTTACAGTAGTGATACAAAGTTTCCTTTAAAAATAATAGATTTCTTTTGGATAAAACGGAGCCAACGTAAAGAAAACATTTTAGCAAATAATAGGATGGGCATGGGTTATGGCCCAAATCAGGAAAGTGGGCAGAAGTCTGTAGCTTGGGAAAGACTAATTTATGAAGGGCTCCAAACTCCTGGCATTTTAGTTCTGTTATCGTCCAACACTTTCCAGACCTATCGTAGTAGTTTGTTTGCAGGTCAGTCTGTTCAAGGGTAGGAAGTATGCTTAACCCATCCTTCATTTCCAATGCCAAGCACTATGCCCCATGAAGAAAGTGCTCAAGTTTGATGAACAAAGGAAAGAGTCTGTGCCATTTTCTCACTGAGGTCTCCCAACACCCCATAAGGCAGGAAGAGCAGGGACTGTTATTCCCATTTTACAGATAGGGTGACTTAGTCACAGATTCGGAATCCAGCTCAAAGTCATGCAGTGAATAAGAAGCTGGGCTTGGGGACAGAGTCCAGACTTCTCTCCCCACAGTGTCAAGGATGAATAGAAGGGGCTGTTTGTGGTTGAATGAGAGAAGGGAGCAGTGTCTTCACTTCGAGTCTATCTGGAGACATCCAGGTCAGCCACAGACCAAGGACCATCTTTGGTCGGGAAGAAGGTGGCTCAGGAGACCTCTGCAAGGACATTTGGGGGAGCCTTGACCAGTACCCTAAGACCTCGAAGGATGCTAGAATTAGGGCCCTGAGCCCGGGATTGTTGGGAATTTGGAGCAAGTAGGAGCCAGAGTTTGGGGTTCCATGTTTGGGTTGCACTATGATGCTGCCCCACCTCTGTTTTTGATTGTTCCAGAATCAGCCCTGCTGCTCTTCCTGGCCATGCCCATGCTCACCGTTGGGGGAATCCTGTTTCTGATCACCAACCTGCAGGTGTGAGCCTGCCCTTATCCCAGGCACCTGGCAGGAGGGTGGAAGGAGGGAGAAGCACTTTTCTACATTGGCTACCTTAAATGGGGTTGGCCCCGGCCAGGGTGGTAGCTCCTGGGGTGGAGTGTGAGTCTGGGTATCATGAAGGCCTGGAACATGCTGGGTGCACAGGAAATATTTACTTCATGATTAAATAAGTGATTCAGGTTGGTCACATTCTCTCCAGGTGGGAAACCTGTTTGGCAAACACCGCTCAACCATCATCACTCTCTACAATGGAGCGTTTGACTCTTCCTCGGCAGTCTTCCTTGTCATTAAGGTAAAAAATAGCGGGGCCAGCCCATTGGCCGAGTGGTTAAGTTTGCATGCTCTGCTTGGGAGACCCAGGGTTTCTCTGGTTTGGATGCTGAAAGTGGACATGGCACCTCTCATCAGGCCATGAGGCGGTGTCCCACATAGCACAACCAGAAGCACTCACAGCTAGAATATACAGCTACATCTGGGGGGCTATGGGGAGACGAAGAAGGGGAAAAAAAAGAAGACTGGCAACAGATGTTAGTCCAGGTGCCAGTGTTAAAAAACAAAAACAAAAACGTAAAAAATAGTAATAGCCAACATTTATTGAGCACTAATATATGCCAGACACTTGTCTTGTGAACTTTGCATGATTTCTTTCCATCAACGCTTCTGCAGCTAGAAAACATGACACTTGAACTTGAGCCCAGGCCTGTCTGGTTCTAGAGGCTGAGCTTGTAACCATTAAACTCCTTCTTCACACTCCTGTAGGATTTTTGCACGGAGGCTAAGGGAAGGCATGGCCATGATGTGCCTGGGCCAGTGTTGGCAGAGGCTGGGGGCCCTTTGCAATGGGGTGTTTGTGCCTGTGAGCTTCTGGGTTGGACAGGGAGGTGGGGGGTGGCTCGTCGGGGCAGCAGGGGCAGACACAGAGTCCTCTCCAGCTCTCCTGAAGGCCGAGGTTAGTGATCGGGGGATGGGCTGTTGCCAGTGCTGTTAGTAGCCCACCTAACAGCCATTCTCTCTTCTTTATTGCTAACATTCCATCTGGGCAGTGGTGTGCCCAGCCCAGGGGATGAATCCTGATTGATCTCAGCCAACTGAGGCAGTCGCTTTCCTCCTTGCTAATGATGAGTAGAGGTGGGCATATTCTCCAGTCCTTGTTAGTGAGGTGAAGGGGTTGTATTCACGAGGACTTTAGGGATATTTCTCTCCTTGTTGGAAGATGAAAGCAGAGCAAAAAGAAAGCCTTCCTCCCTGGTCCCCCTTTCCACCCTTCCTCTTTGAATGTTGTGGCAACTGTTTGAATGTTTGAATATAGCTGGATGTGTGACAGCCATTCTGTGATTATGAGGCAACAAGCTGGAGGACAAAAGCTAGCAAACTAAGGATGAATGAGTGAAAGGAATAGAAGAATATGAGTCCTTGGACTTCCCTCTGGGCTTTGTGTTAGGCCAGAGGCAGCTGGCACAGCCTGTGGGCCAGGGGCAAGAGAAGAGGATCTCTGGGAGTCACTATCCAGATATGAAACTAGCTTAGTGCTGTGAGCACCTGGGCTTGGAGGGTCGCCCACAGGCTGAGCCTTGGGGCACGTACTCAAGCCTTTCTACCACTCGTACAAGAACCAATTTCCAGGTTCTTCCTCCTTCCCCTGGATGTGCTTCCCTTTCTCTCTTCCCTCTTTGGAGTTGGAAGGAGAGACAGCGCGCCAGAGCAGGAGCTGGAGATCTCCATTTAATCTGACCTTGCTGCTGCTCACTCTGACCTTGAGCAATTCCTTGTGCCTCTCTGGACCTCAGTTTCACCCTCTGTAAAGTGAGGTGGTTGGGCTAGATCAACGGTTTTCAAACTGGGTGTCGAGGAACACTGAGGGGTTCCCTTTGATGTTATGTTGGTCACCAAGGAGAATAAGGGGGAGGATGACAGGGCCACTCCCCACTGATGTGTTTCATAAGTTGAATTTCTGTGTAAAATTTTGTTTGAACAAAAGACTTTGCTGCCAGTAAAAAAAAAAAAAAACACCAGGCTGGAAGATCTCTGAGAAGCTTCACTTCACTAGGAGGCTCTATAAGACTGTGGGGATGGATAATACGCTGCCTCCTCTGCTGCTGGTTGGGCCCTGGGGTGACAGGGAGTCTATGTGTGTACGAGGTGTAATTAATTAGCTTCCAGGGTGGAAGGCAACAGCCTGTACCAAGACTCATTCTTAGAAACTGGGGTTCCAGCTCCTGCTTCTTACCCGGACTTTTCTTTGGTGTGGTAAAATCTATAGAATAAAATTTACCGTCTTAACCACTTTAAGTGTATGGTTCAGCGGCATTAAGTTCATCATATTGTTAGGCAAGCAACACCACCATCCATCTCCAGATTGAAGTCTTTTCAATCTTGTGTAAGTGAAACTCTGTCCCCATTAAACACTAACTCTCCAGTATCCCACCCCACCCAGCTCCTGGCAACCACCCTTCTGCTTTCTGTCTCTGTGAATTTGGCTACTCTAGGGACCTCATCCAAATGGAATCATGTAGTAGTTATCCTTCTATAACTGGCTTATTTCACTTAGCATGATGTCCTCAAGGTTCATCCATGTTATAGCACGTGTCAGAATTTCCTTACCTTTTTTTGTTGTGTTGAGAAGATTGGCCCTGAGCTAACATCTGTTGCCAATCTTCTCTATTTTGTATGTGGG